GGCTCAAAGCAAATGTGTTGTGTTTTTTTCCCTAAACAAACCTTTATAACACAGTTATTGCCTCCATTGACTAAGCATCCTTTTTTGTAATCACTGATAGTACTCTAATTTCAATTATTTCTGTATTTAATCTGTCTTTTTGCTGAACAAATTCATTATAAAAGCTATTGCTACCTTTAGCTATAACACTATTGTTGCTCTTCACCAGCAGCATTTTGTTTCACACATTAGTCAAGTCGTTGCAGTGAGATAGCAAATCATATATGCTTTTATAATATGCAACAACATTTCCACATGCAATCTGCACAAAACCATGTATCTGGCTCTGTATTGCAGTCCTCATGTAGTGTTTTAAGGAAAAGAGAGGATTTGTGCAATCCTTAACTATATTATCTGCATTAGATTTTGTTGATCTGTATTTCCCAGATTAGAGGATTACTAATTGTTTTTGCTCTCTCTGCCCCCATAGACTGGCCTGCTGTGGCTGCTGTCTTTGCTGTGTATCGAATCACCTCCTCATTGTCATTGCCACTGAAGGGCTTTGGGTTTTTTTGTTGTCTACTGATTTCAACTGATGGGTGCTAATCAGTAGCGTTTGCTCATTGAAAACTGGGGAGGCTAAAGCTCCCCTGCAAATTTTGTAAAATTTTTGTAAAATTTGCATTGTGCTAAAATACACTTAATTTCATGAGTATATTGTAATAAGCTGTTGTGGATGCTCTTGAATATGATCTCCCCTCTGCTCTAGAGCAGCAGGATGCAGCCTGTCAGTCCCTATGCACAATCTGTAAATCCCCGTCCATGCATTGAAGCAAGCAGAGAGAAAGTAGGGCCCTGATTGGATAACGCAAAAAAAAAAAAAAAAAAAAAAACATCCAGTGAGGCTAAGCTTCATATTGTGTATATGAAGCAGGGGTGGGTCGTGAAGCTGGCTGGTAGATGCTGATTGGCAGAACACGGTAAAAGATTATTGACCGACAGCGACCAGACAAAAGAGAGGTTTTCCTCATGAGTCGAGAGAGCACAACGCGATCATTCAGTAAGAACAGAACTATTTGATTGATTGATTGATTGATTGATTGATTGATTGATTGATTGATTGATTGATTGATTGATTGATTGAATGATTGATTGACTTAAATGATCTCACAGTGGAGAAATGTACTCGTTACATTAGCTCAAATAGTCAAAAGGAGAAGAATGTGCCAAAGGAAGAAAAAGGTGCAGGAGATTTATACAGTATATACAGCGTGTCCACATATGACAGCTTTTTTTTTTCACCTGTTGTAATACATTTTTAGTCACTTCCTGTGACAAAAAATGTAAATAAGTTTTATTGCCCTGTTTTCATCTTGTTAATGTTTTATCCATTTGTTTCTTTACCATTATAGGGAAGCAACTTGTGAGGTAGCTTGTTGTTAGGTCAGCCATGATGGTAGTTACAGAATATGTTACGTATGGATATAATTAACACCCCTGAGGCTTCCCTGTTTCAGAGTACAGTGCTAATACTAAGCATGGTTACTTTGGGTTTTTCGCTATGAGTAACAAGTTATTCCTCTCTACTGTCACCTTATTTTTGTACAGGATGAAATATCATTGGATGGAAGAAAATGAATGGACTGAAATACTAGAAGATGGGACTAATCACCATTTTAGGGGATTCCTCTCTATCAGGCTATGTGCAAAGTTCCTCTATTGACTTTTATAAAAGTGAATAGTGTTAGTATAATAAAATAAAAACACCATCCCAAGAGCCGACCTAAAGCAGCAGTTTGTTTTTATTTTAAAAAGCATACCTGGAATATCCCTTTAAATCTGTAATTAGTCCTACAAAACAGATTTTTTTTATGGTCAGAATTTCCTGGAGTCCCCTTAAGAAGTATAAGATGCGGAGGAAACCATTTACACCAAAACAACACCCCGAGGCTGGGCTTGTGGGCAACCTGGAAGCTCAATTCCCTGCAATACGGCAGATTACAGTAAGATTATCCTTAATTTATAATAGATAAGTTTTACCATGTGGAGCAGTTAGTGAAATCCTAAAAACCTGCATACCATGTTAGGAATTGGGACAACTGGCACAAACAAATGGATCACAAAGGGAGAACAGATGAGAAGATTGCTCATTATGGCCTGCACATCTTCACAAAACAAACCAACACACAATTTTAGCAGAGCTAAGGTATCTGAATATAGCAATAAATTCTCTACAGAGGGACTGGGGCTCTTATTGGGATGAGTTTCTATATTTTCTGCCTTCACGGCTGAAAGAAAATAGCACCACTTATGCATAATTAAATCCTGTGCAAAACAAAGAAAGCAAAGCATATTCACAGCCAGCTTTACGAGGAAAAGGGCGGTCAGTAAACATACATCAGAAACTGATATAGATCAGCTATGATGTCCTTTAGGTCAAGATAGAACAGATTAAAAGCCGTAAAAGTATTATTTTTATTAACAAGCAATAAACCACTACATGACATGAAAAACCTTGACAGCAAACTTCCCGACAGGTTACATTTCACTGGTTGAAAAACTGAAACCAAGCCAAGCTGTTTTCCAGCACTCACCTGAGGCAGCAGTTCATAATTCCTCCCAGCAGCAAACTTCAAAGCTACAATGTCTGCATGTGTGTGAGAAGCATCTGCATGATTCACTGCGTTCATACGTTTGCACATCTCAAGCACCAGCAGCAAACTGGCTGCAGCAGCTATGAGTTGTGTGCTGAAGAGGGAATTTGATCATCCAGTGATGAGATCCTTACGGCACAAAAATAAAAAAATAATAATAATAATAACAGACTGAGCTTTTCACAGAGAGAGAATCTCAGCTGACAGGGAGGAAGAGGAAACAAAGAAATCAACTGAGAGAAAGTCAAAGTGAGAGCAAATGAGACAGTCAGGCGAAGTGACACACATAAAACTGCAAACATGAGCAGCGGTGTTGTGCTTAGGGACTTGCTTTTCCAATCACTGCTGAGCAAGAAGAAATGCAAGCAGAAGGTTTATAATCAGGATGTACAGTTCCTGAAAGGTGAGAACAGATGGGTGACATTTAGGCACATAGGGATAAAGCTGAGTGGTGGATATGTGGGAAAACTCATTCATTGGAGAGCCTGACACTGCAGTCAAATCATGAAGGAGTGGGGTGGGTCTAAATTATTTATTTCATTGTGGATTTAAGCAATTTTTGCTCCCTCACTGAGCTCCACTGTCATGTAAGGCTATACTACTATGGAAAGCACTCTGCTTCAAAGTCCAGGCATATAAAACACGGAACATACCTCAGTTAGATTTGTTGAAAATGTTTGGCTCATCTTTTTCCCTTCAGAACCAGTTGATCATGTATTTAGTAAAAAAAAAAAAACAATGTATTGGAAGGAAAGGAATTTGCTGTTATGGAAACCTGGAAGTTATGCTTCAATATTTACAAGCAAAAGGTTTGGCTGAAAACCTTATATACATTTATTTATACACACAGATATATATATATATATATATATATATATAGAGAGAGAGAGAGAGAGAGAGAGAGAGAGAGAGAGAGAGAGAGAGAGAGTTGTTTCTTCTGCTCCAAACATACAATCTCACACACACCTACTGCCTCAATCCCAGAGGCGTAGCCAGAAAATTTTTATAAGGGTGGCCAGGCAATAACCAACGTACACTGAGGGGTGGCTGTACGTGGATAGGCTACAGAAACTTAGGGTCAAGCCAAAGGTAAGACAAACTATACTTTCCTACAGTCTTTGCTAACGAATAGAATAAAATCCTTTCAGGTTTGAGTTCTGGAGCAAATGTCTTTTCCATTGTCATTATTTACCTACTTTTATCAATAATCATTCTGCATAAAATTGGTATTTATAAGTCATAATACCTACATAAATTGATTATTTAATACATTCTTATTAAAATAGTTATTTATCTTTGATTTCACTGAAGACTCCTAGATGACTTGCAAAGACACATCGTTTTACCTTTAGCCCATATAACACAAAATCTAGTTCTAAAAAGAGCATGAATTCTGTACTTATCATCTGTAACATTAGTATATAGATGCGTATAATTAACCACAGTGTTTTTGTTGTCAAGAAATTATGAGTACATGAAAAAATAGTGAGTCATATATGAAAAATTTTAATGAATATTTCACTTGAGAGTATTACTGCTGCCACCATCTGTATTAGAGGGGGCTAAAAATGGTAGGGGTGGCCAATGATTAGCTAAGGGTGGCTATGGCCACCCCTGGGTCCCCAGCTAGCTCTGCCCCTGCTCAATCCAGCCAATTCTGCCTATTCTATAAATACAAAGATACACAGAGGGGATTAGAAGTTTACATTAATTCATCTTGTGATTTCATAATGTGAAACCTTCTTTAACTCTAACCAGATTGAGATTATATATATAGATATGTATTTATTAGCGGTTTATTCACTCAAACCATTTTTTTACTTTTATCATAGACAGTTCCATATAAACCACATCCTTCAAGTAGCCATCAGATGAATCCAAAATTCTGGCTGGATTGTTGACTCTTGTGTTCAATATTCTAGCAGCAGTAATAATGGCAGTGAAACAAACCCTTAGCATGATGCTACCCCTAATGTGCTTGATAGTTGGCGGAGTGCTCATAGGTTCGAAGCCTCACCTTTGCACCTCCATACATCCCCCTTTACTGTGCCTAAGAAACACAATATTGGTTCTCTTTTCAAGTCAGATACCAACCTGAGTGTCATGAAAGTGCTGAGATGTAATGAAAGAATCACCCATTAAAATCCTTTCAAAGATGTATTGATTTCACTTCTCTCTTTCAGCAGAATAGGTCATATTTATGATTAGCTTGGTTTTGTTGGGTGTGTGAGCTAAGAATTTACAAACCAGGAATTGAATGAGAAACGTGAAACTTAGAATAGCGCCTCTAACCAGATAATTCTGCTTTTGGGAATGCATTGTGGTGCCCCTTTTAAAAATCCGCCACAGTTGGCAGTAAAGTGTTACCTGACACTGTCGATCAGCTGCTGATGGTTCTCTGTAATTAAAATGTCGGGCAAGGCTTCAGCCAGACTCTCCACATCCCTGTCTGCAGCATACTGCTTTAGCACCTCAAACAGGTGCTCCTTCACATCGGGCTCCTCTCCAAGAACCTCCTCCACCTGATTTGATAAAGAAGATGTCAAAATCATACATGATCTGAAAACAGGGTAATTTGAACAAAAGAAGTAGCTTCACATTCACCTTCTTATTGAACTCCATGGCCTTGTGAGCACGACTCTCCCTGATGCTGTCTCCGCTCTGGGACAGAACCCTCATGCTGCTGCTTAGTCGTTTGGGTCGGCGGGCCATGCTGAGTACGCCCAGTCGGAGTGGTCGGCCTTGCGCTGCCTTGATCATGGCTGCTGCTGTTTCGTGATGCTTCACCGGGATTCCATTTACCTCCATGACATAGTCGTTTACTTTGAGGCCACTGCGTGCTGCAGGACCTCCAGGCATGGATTCCTCCACCATCAGAGGGCTATCCCCCACAATGGTGAAGCCAAAACGGCCATCTGGGCCTGGGGTGATGTCAATCTTAAAAACAGTCATAAATAATTGCTCATTTATTAGAGATTCTACAAAGTAGAAAAAAAAGGAAATATTTCAGTGTCAGCTGACCTGTTCGATCCGAGACACGACTCCAATACTGGGTGGTACAGTCTTCAGGGTCTGAGCCAAAGCAACCAGGGCTGGTGTGCTGAGGTTGGTGACGTCCTGACCTTCAATGTCCACCACCTGGTCACCTGGCTGCAAGCCGGCAAGGTAGGCACTACTGCCTTCCACGACGGACAGGATGTAACTGGGTCCAGTGCCTCCAAGCCTGAAGCCAAAAGCCTCTGGCCAGTTCTGGTTGGTGGCAGGGAGACCGAGATCTAACAGACAGAAAAGTTGGAGAGACTCAAACCTATACCCTTCCATTTTTTATTTTCAAAAATTACATTTTTATTTCTTAGCTCTATCTTTTTATTAAGTTTTCACCTTTTACTTACCTTTTTAAGTTTTTTTAATTAACTTTGTTTGGTCCAATTTAATAGATAAAAAGTCACACAAAAGGCAACATTAGATTACTAGTGGTAATCTATGAAGCACCCACACTCAACCTTGAGACACACACAGTGATGGCAGCATTATGAGCTGATGAGTTCTCTCGGAAAAATGGTCTAAGGGATTTGGATTTGAAGATGTCAAAAATAAGGAACAATCCTAGGAAGAAGAAAAAAAATTTCTTTGGAGGGCTTCAAAAAACTTGAAACTCAGCAGGAGGCCCACCTTTGAGTAGAAAAATGCCCTAAACCTACAGATCTGGCTGTAGGTTTAGGGCATTATTAAAATTTCAAACCAAAATTTCATTTAGAATCAGTGTCAAGAAAAGAAGAAATGCTATTAAAAAATCTTCTACAGCCGATCTGAATGGGTTTGAGGTAAATTACACAAAAGATCATCACAGTCAAGGTATCCAGATTTGGAAAGCTGATAGAGCCATACTCCACAAGATTTGCAACTGTAATAACAGCATAATGAGGTTCTATTGAATACTAAGAGTCTCATTATGGGGGAGTAGTTGGGGTATGTGTTGTGGTGCACTTTTATTTATAAATGAAAATCAAAAACCAATAAACATTTTTCTTCCACTTTTGAAACTTTTCAGGTTCTATTACATGCATACCAACAGAGTACCCATACATTAGTGGTTATGGCTTAATGAAAGGGGTAGAAAATACTTAAGCATGGCTCTGCTGTCCAAGACACAATATGATAACAAAGGGGAAGTATCAGATTCCATAGGTAGTGTTGCAATACAATAGCAAAAAAGCCCTGCTAAATAAAGTCAAAGAGAGCCAGGTGGGTGCAGAGCAGGTAGACAGGTCTGTGTACTGGAGCAACACAAAAAATTTTTAAATAAAAAAAAAAAAGCCCTGCTAAATAAAGTCAAAGAGAGCCAAGAGGGTGCAGAGCAGGTAGACAGGTCTGTTTACTGGAGCAACACAAAAAATGTTTAAATTTTTTAAGTCCAACAAATCACAGCAAGAGGAAAAGTTTAAAAGAGAAGCAGGTTATCTGTGAGTGTTATCTGGACCATATGTTGAACCGCTGGCCTTCCTCTGGTCACTGGCCTCATTCTGGTGCTGCATAGAGTGTCCCAGTAGACACACTTGACTTCATCTGTACCTGAAATTAATCTCCATACATTAAATATATTTGGTGTACCACAGAGAGAGGTCAGTGGTAAAGGACTAGATCTAGCACAAAAAGTATAAAACAACCTCTTGTTCCAACATGTCTGGTCTTTTGTTCTATTGTGGTGGATGCGTTTTCATTAATCTTTCCAAATGTGCTTGAATGCTTAAGTAGAAGATGTTAGACAACTTGAACGCATACCAAGACAGTGGTATTGAATAAGTGAAAACTGCACTTAGTTGTTTTATTCCTTATCAAAGTTTTAGTGAGCCAGACATGAAAATTGTCGCAAAAGAGAGGATTTAGTTTTTGAAAGTCAAGTAAAATGACTTTGAAATGATGTCATATCTGCTGAAGGGTAAACCAGATCTCAGTGGTACTTCGGGCTTCAGACGGCCTATATCAATCATAAATCAAAGAATTAGTGAAGAAGCTGCTGTCAGCTCATTGAAAAGAATCAAAAAAGAAATATTGATCTAAAATAGATAAAGATATGGTTGGATCATCTGTTTGTCTTCCCGGAACACTGAGCAGTGCTGTCAGACTTGTCTGTTTTCTCATCCCTGCGTCCCAGATAGTGTGCTCCACTGAAGCTTTTCTTTATCTTTCCTCATGCAAACCAAGCCCCTCAGGAACATCATCATATGGAAAGAAAAGATCAATTCAGAGAAATAGGACTTACAGAAATCTTTGGCGGCACTCCGGGTCCCAGACTTGCTCTGGCGCAGGGAGAAGCGGCCCTTTCTGCTGAGGAAGCGCCTCATCCTCGCCCGGCTTGCGGCAGGGCACGTTCCAGCCAGCCTTTCCTCACCCCCAGACAGGGGGTCGCTGCAGCCAAAGAGTGCCCCTTGGACACCCTCTTGCTGCTCCTCCACCAGACCTAACTCACCTCTTCCCTGACCCTCTACCTACCTACACCTATACAAGCCCCCAGAAGGTCACATTTGTGAATTTTTAGGGCCAGTTCTTCCCTGTGCTCTCAATCAGAAAAGCAGCTGTAAGAAGCTGAAGAGCAAAGAGCCTCTGAGTGTCAGCCTCACCATCCTTGGTGAAGCTGTCCAACCTCAGCCTCGGTCCAAACCCTCTAGCTGAGCAGCAAACATGAAACTGGGACACAGTAACTTGGTCCTGAAATGGTTCATTGCAAGGAAAGGTACTGCGAAGCCCCATTTTTCTATAAATACCTTCCCCTCTCTTTCTCTCTCTCCCACCCTCTCTCACTGTCTCCCTCTGTTGCTCATGTGGATGAAGCCCTCTCAGGGGCTGAGGAGTGACCCAGAAACTGAGCCGCGTACCAGCCAGCCAGGGATGCTTCTGATTATAGCGTCTGTGTTAACCTCAGTACTGGAGCACCAGTTAGAGATGTCGCCAGAAAGATGGGCTCAAGGTTACATGCAGCAACTAGAGCAATGTTTTCCCTGCTAGGCCAATCCACTGTTATGCATTCAGAGCATAAATGCAAAGCTAAATTTGACTCCGGTAGTGAGAAATAGGTGCAGCAGTATGCTAAGTTAGCAGATAGGGTTCAATCTACAGACATATGAATAAGCACAACTAATAAAAGATTTGAGCGCAGCAACAAAATATTTATACTCCTTAAATTTGTTGGTTGGTGACATTAAGACCAAAAAGTCCAATATATTTAACTCCATTCTTTTTTGACGAGCAAAAAGAAATTCATAATTTTATTTATCAGTACATATGTATAGAGGGGCATTTGTAAGCTCACCCCTTGAGTCAAAACAGAACCCAGGATTTATTTATTTTTTCAGGGTTATGTATTTACCATCTATTCATATCAAGAAAACGCTTAAACTCAGTTCAGTTAAATTTTTGGTTCATGAAAAATGCAATTTCCAAACACTGACACTGATTCTTATTGTATTTACATTTGAACTTGGATTAGACTATTCTAACATCTATTTGTTTTGATCCAAACCTGTGGTCTTTAACTCTCATCATAAATCCTGCATAGAAGCCTGCAGCTCTTGATATGCTAGATAGGTAACTAAGCTAGTTTACACAGGTTGACTGGCATCTCAAAGCTGCAGGATAGTGTCTGTTATGGAGTTGAAGATCACTGATCCAAACTAGTGGACTGCTCAGTGGGGCAGTAGGTATCACTGCTGCCTTGCAGGAAGAAGGTTCCGGGTTTGATTCCCGACCTGGGGTCTTTCTGCATGTTCTCCCTGTGCATGTGTGGGTTCTCTCCGGGTACCCCTGGCTTCCTCCCTTATTTATTATAGCTTTTATTGCATTTTATCTGTTTTTACTTGTGTTGTTTTTATGTTATCATGTGAAGCACTTTGTGACTTTGTCTGTGAAAAGTGCTATACAAATAAAGTTTACTTTACTTACTTTACTTACTTTACTCCCGCAGTCGAAAAACATGACCTGTTGGGTTAATTGACTTCTCTAAATTCTCCTTTGGTGTGAGTGTGTGTGTGAGTATGGTTGTCTGTCTGTATTGCCCTGTGATGGATTAGCGACCTGTCCAGCAGGGTCTATCCTGCCTCTCACCTGTAGACAGCTGGAGATAAGCACCACCAGTACCTTGCGACCCCAGCTGGGATAAAGCATGACGGAAAATGGATGGATGGATGATCCAAACTATGCATTGCAGCAGGGGTTTTACCATATTTAGCATGGGTACTTTAAGTTTAAGTAAGACCACCATGATATAAGAAATGTATTCATTTAAAATATAAAGCTTCTCATATTTCATTTAGTCTAGGTTTCAAACATTAAAATAACTTTGTGAGCTTAAATGTATGTTTTTAGAATCTAGCATGCAACTTAGGTTTGTAGATGTGATACTACTTAAGAAACCAGAGTTGAATCATTGATTAGTTCATTAACAGGACTCTGTAGAATTTGATATATGGCATTCAGCAAAGGGCACATCAAAAAGTTGCAGGAACTGCTGCTGAAGTGTAGATGGACAGTGACACCCAGTTTTATACAGAGGTTAGAGGGCATCAGCACTATATGGAATAGAGTAACCTTAATAACACTTATGGGACAAAGAATTGATCTACTTGCCAGGTTAAACCAAGCAGTATCTATTATCTGACCTGCATTTTAACCCTTCAAAAGGGCATTTTAATGTCAATAGTCTCTGAAGTACTTGAAGTATCTTCTTCCAGTTGGAATGGGGGCTAAATTTCTATCAACAAAGCTTGTTGCTCCTCTGCATTTTTTTACTTTAGAGCTTTGTTACAGTAAAATAGCACCTGATTTGCTAAGAGGAACTTTACAAGTAGCTAAGGCCTATAATAAAACTCATTTCCATTCATTTCTAAGACGTCGCAGAAACCCTGGTCGAGAGTATTTATCACCCTTGAACACAATCCTCCCCAAAAGGACTGCTGTGTTTCCCCATCTGCTCCGATCATTCTCTTCATCTCTCTCTGCTGGAGAAAAGCATCCCTACATCATTATTTTGCTGTCACTGTGGAAATGTAATGCAATTCTCCAGTGGACATTGGTGGGCATTTTGCAGTTTAGAACTTGTTTAAAGCAACCACAGCATATCCAAGGGATCTGAATATTTGTGTCATATTTACAAAAAATAAAAACGTAGAAAGCAAAGGTGTAAGAAAATAGCATTTATTTCACATGAACTGTGCTTAAATTTGAGCAGCTGTACGAAATGCTGAAGAACACTCCCCTAAGATTTGTAACAATATCATGGGAAGCCCTGGACAAGGAGCAGCACACAACCTTTAAAGAGCAACGTCTCCAAATCAGAGCTCAAAACGTGATGGTGGTTGAGTCGTGAAGCTGGGACCAGAACTGAAAAAGAAAATACAATATCCAAAGCAGCAAAGTTCCTATCATTTATCCTGCTCAATAATCCCTAACTTTATCCAGAATGTTTAATTACAAAACATTTATCATTCTGATTCAAAGTAATCCTTTTTTGTAATACCGGGAAGGATGACATCACAAAGAGATGAGGTCAGTCATTGAGACTCGTTAAAACCACAAACTACTGGGATATTATCTGAAAGATCAATGCAAAGGGAAACAACATGGGCACCGACTTTAAAAGCAATGTGGCGTCTAAACAAATTTGGCTTCATTTCAAAATTTCCCCCCCTTAGACATGTGAAATCCACAGAATGAATCTAAAATCTATAAACCACAGTTTGGGATATCACTTTGTTAATCTAATCAGTCAATAAAATATATTTTCTAACATCTGTGGTAAATGTTCAGGACTTGGAATTGCTCTGCATCTAAAATAATTAAGTTGTGATGTGGTGAATTAAGGTAAGAAACGGATTTTCTGTTTAAAAACAGAAAATGAAATACTGTTGTGCTTGAAAGTTTACATACCCTTCCTTTAGAGACTTTAAAAAAAGATCAGCTAGATCAGTAAAATAAATTGAAATTGAGAAACAAAAATTATTATATAGACTTCTGCATCTGTTGACATGTATGTTTGTTTACTGTTCCTGAGCGATGTACTTTTATTCAAATCAATCCATTGTATTTCATGAAATAACCATTAACTCCATTTTTATTTGTTATGACTTTTTTTTTTTAGTTTCATGGCCTTTGAATTACTAGTCCAAATTGATAATTATCTTTAACGGTAGGGTATGTGAACTTTCAAGCACACCTGTATATGTCTACAATGTATTTTTCTATTTTGGTTTCATTTCCCTGTTTTAAGCCTGTTCAAACTCTGCAGGAAACCTGCAGGTCGTACAAAAACTTGGAATTTGGATCGGTTCCAGCTGAACATTCAGTTTGGATGTAACACCTATAATAAACACTGTTTATTTGATTTAACACAAAAGTCACATCAAATGCATTGATAGGAGGAGTTACTTAATAAACCATTTCCCCCAAAATGTATTCTATTACAGTTCTGTCCCTGTGAGCATTGTAAAACTTTGGCCTTAAATGCATCACTGACTCATCCACATACATAAAGATCAAAGCAGGCAGCAGCTAAAGCCAAAAGAGTTATTTGATCATAAAACAACTGTCTGAATCTCTACCTCCTCTGGGGAGGTGATGACATACTCCTCTTGCTGCTGCACCATCTGTATTCCCTGCTCAACTGCTTCCTCTGTTGTAACCATAGTAACAGTCCCCTCAATGTCCTCAGCAGCACGTGACGTGGCCAGCAACGTCCCATCGCTGATGGCAGAGGCCAGTGTCATGGCCACCTGTTCAGTCAGGCTCTCCGGCGTGGCGATGGTGATGGTGTCCCCGCAGTCAGAGATGGAGGCCCCTTCTTCGTCTGCTCCAACGTTTCGCACTATGATCTGATGGCTGCCCGTGCCCTGGGACTGGCTGACCATTTGCTGCACCACTTTCATGATCTGGTTTCCCATCTGACAAGAAAGAAACATTTAAGACTTGTGAGACCAGCTCAGCAACAACTTTTGTTTATGCATTAATGTAATTCCTTATATGTCGCAGTCAGCAACCCTTAATATAGAATATGCATATGTTCTCTTTGGTGCTCCCCAGACGTGCACACTGACCTCATTTTGGCTGTCCTGAATGAGCGTAACTTCTTCCTGAATTCCCTCTCCGGTTTCAGTCTAAATGATGTAAAAGAATAAAGAGGCAAAAGAAAAAATCTATGTTATATTTTTCATGTAAAGCTCTGAGGAGTGAAAGGCTTCCTGCATAAAGCTCAGTGTATCCCAGCTCTCGTTTTCAGTTTTGATGCAGAATTCAAGACCAAAGGAGAAGATATGAACATAGACCGAGCCTTAATTAGAGAGCGTCACCTTTTCATTCCGACTTTATTTTTATCATAACAGACCAGTGCACCGTCTGCTTTACAGTAGCAGATCCCCTTACTCGACCCAAGATGCTTGAACTCCTATACTTTAAGAGTTCAAGCATCTTGAGAGAAGTGATTGATGATTCATCAGAACCTACTACTAGATGTATCTTAATTAGTGGTGGGACCATTAAACGGTCAGCTCTTCAGAACTTTTTATTTATTGGGTCTGTAATTAATTCACATTAAATGAAAACCATATAATTGATCAAATAAAAGATTATTTGATTCAAAAACCATTTTTTC